ATCCAATCTAAACCTCCCCTGATGCAACTTGAGGCCATTGCCTCTCGTCCTATCGCTGGTTACCTGGGAGCAGAGACCAACCCCCGCCTCACTCCAACCTCCTTTCAGGCAGTTGTAGGGAGCAATAAGGTCTCCACTCAGCCTCTTCTTCTCCAGACTGAACAGCCCCTGCTCCCTCAGCCGCTCCTCATCAGACTTGTTCTCCAGACCCCTCCCCAGCCTCGTTGCCCTTCTCTGGACACGCTCCAGCCCCTCAATGTCCTTCTTGTAGTGAGGGGCCCAACACTGAACACAGCACTCGAGGTGCGGCCTCACCAGTGCTGAGTCCAGGGGCATGATCACTTCCCTGTTCCTGCTGGCCACACCATTCCTGATCCAAGACAGGATGCCACTGGCCTAAAGAAGTGACAGGTTTGCCCTTGCGATAGCCTCTGGGGTGGCAGGGAGGGGGAACCTGTCACTAAACACAGTGATGTGTGGAGGGAGGTCCTTGAGCAATGCCAGCGAGGGGCTCGGCAGCAGCAAGATCTCGTGTAGATTTCCAGGAAAAACATGTGTCACGTTAAGTGTGATGATCAGACAATGGTTGGATAGGAATAAGCATAACACTGTCTTTTTCCTTTCTCCTTTAGGATTGTGGAAATATACAGTAGAAGATTACAAGGTAAACATGAGTTTTTGATTTTGTTACTTGCAGTTCTTTGCTGGCCATCTCAGGGTACTGGTACTTGTAGGTGGACTACAGCTGTGCAAATTTTAGTGCAAAGAAAAACACTGTGTTCTTGAACAGGTATTTCTCATTTATCATCTTAGCCCCTGTGTTTCCAGTGAGGGGTAAAATCTGCCTGTGAAAGTAGATGTGGGCAGTAACTGATTCAGAGGATAAATGTGCTACAGGAGACAGCTGCCAGGAATAACTAAGCTAGCTGGATGCTGCTGGAGATGAGGTCTCCTACAGATAACTTGAGAGATGCCTTCAAGGATTCTTGTCTGAAGAGATGAAGTGAGAGCTGCTGTGTTGGGGACTGCCTGCCTGCTGTCCCCGAGAAGCGGAGGAAGCTGCAGGATCTGAGGCCTTGGCTTGGGCTCAGCCTGCTCTCATTGTCCTGCAGTTGAATCTGGCCTGTTCTGGGTGGCAGAAGTCTTAGTGACCATTAGGTGCTGAACTGATGAATAGAGAGTGCTGGAGCTGCAGGAAGTAAAGCTTTACAGAGCAATAGACTCTTTTAACTTGCTCATTTTTGGTCTCCACTTCCTTTCCTTAAAAAGAGAAATTGTGTGTAGGGAATGAATACTGCAACAGCAAACCCGGTGAACAAATATATAAAAACCAAAAGAAAGCAGAGAAGCAAGACAGTGTAACTGCGTTACAGGAAATCCAAGAGGTGTTATAATAAATAATGGTAATGCAATTCCTGTAAAGGTGTAATGCAGAATGACTCCTAATATAAACAAGCACGTAGAAGCTCTGTTCCAGCATACAAAACATAGGATTTGGTACTAATAAAATTTATTTAGGAAGAGCAGAGCTTGTGTGTGGTGGTGGGGAGCAGTCACGCTTGGAAGTGAGGATGCAGCGTTGCTGTCCTTCGCGCGTGGCATGCAGATAGCGGCGGGGCATTGGTGCTGGTCACATTTAACGCTGCTTCTGAACTCCTTGTTGTTCTTTCAGTCCAGGAACGCCTTACCAAACAAATCGCAATAGCCATCACGGAAGCCTTACAGCCCGCTGGAGTCGGAGTGGTTATTGAGGCTACGTGAGTTACTCTGAGCTGTTCCGTAGCGGTGGGTGGGCCGCGTGTGATGCCAGCCGTGTGCTGCAGAGCTGCTGGGTGCTGCCTCTTGGGCTGCGGTAGCTGTGTGCCACGCTAGTTTACGAGGCGGAGCGCAGGCCGGAGTGATCCTTGCCCGCTCAGCGGAATGGCCTGGTGGGCTGGAGCCATTTAGAGCGGGGGCCCTGCCCGACCCACTGCGGCGATGCGGCAAGCGGCAGGGCGGTCGGCTGTCCCAGTTGCACTGGGTCCGTGCTCTGCCTCAGCACACCTTCTGCTTCCTCACGTAGAGCAAAGCTTGGGTCTAGCACCAGGCGTGTCCCTGTCATCAGAATGCACCACCCTGGAAAGGGGGGATTTTCCTAGGACCTGAGGAGAGGAGGCAGCGCTCAGGGGCTGGGAATTTTACTTTCTTTTCCGTGGAGGACAGCTGAGGTACTACTGACAGATGTCCGTTCTGGGTATGGAGGTTATGCCACTTCCCCAGAATTTAAGGTGACCACGTAAGAAACGTCTCTCTTTGTAGGATTACGTCTTTCTTTTGAGTATGCCTGATTTATTGACTCCTCTCCCTCTCTCATTTCTTCTAGGCATATGTGTATGGTAATGCGTGGGGTACAGAAAATGAACAGTAAAACAGTAACCAGCACAATGTTGGGGGTATTCCGGGAAGACCCGAAGACCCGGGAAGAATTCTTGACACTCATCAGGAGCTGAAACTGTTATTCTCTAAATGCACTCTGGAGATTGTTCTGTCCAGTGTCACTGTCTGTCCTTACTTGTTCCTACGTCTCACTTTTAACCTAGATCGTTGTGAATTGTTGTCATAGTCTTTGTGCAGTGAAAGACTTCTGATGGCAAATGAAAAATGGAACGATGAGCTAGGCTCCTCCTGCATTTCCCATGATGCTGATGTCACAGGCTTACAAGCTACAAATAGGGTTTTGGAAAGGTTTTTTCCATCTACAATGCAGAATATGCTGCTGTTAGGAGAAAAGTGGGGCTGGGGAGCGAGATGGATATTTATGAAAAAATTCTGTTTGTTAGAATAAGTATGGAGCAGCAGAGGAAACAGTTGAAAGGCCGTGGATCCTTGTGGGGCCACTTACGCTGCAAATACTGTACCTCTGCTGGAAAGGATGGTCCCGAATGATCTCTGACTCTACTTCATCACAAGTCCTGCAGTGGCTGTTTCAATATCTGGTTATGTACGTTATACCTCTCTGAGATGTTACCTCTGGTGGTGTTTTATACTCTTGCTAGTGTTAACCCTTCTTTTTTGTGTGTTTTTTGTTTGTTTGAGAAATTTAAAACACATTTTTCCTAGCCTCTTAACGTGCAGGGAGTTAACTTCTAAATTATTTGGGGCATAGTCTTATCTCAATCTAAAGGGTTTTATGGACCTTTCATCTGTGCCTCAGAATGTCTGACCACTTTAACTGTCAGTTTCTTCCTTTTTTTAAGCAAACTTTAACAGGAGGGGGGGAAAAAACCCCAGAGTCTGTCTCTGCAAAGTGCTAAGATATCCAAAGAGGTTTTTAATGATATTTATATCTTGAGCTTTCCTTCTTGGATTTCCGTGGGTTAGAATGAGAAGGTAAATCCAGTCTGATAATCTGAAAATGAAGAATTCTGCTCAAGTGTGTCAAGATTTGCATTTGGTAAATGTTGGACCAAAGGTGAGCACTGAAATCCTGAACACAGCACATGGTACCTCTCCTGCCTGGTGGCAAGTCATTTCAGGACACGGTAACCTGAAATGACAACTTATTTCATAAGAGCATTTGAGAAAAGCGTTGCCAGGGCCATCAAAATGAATTAAACTGCATTTTTCTGTGTATGTGGCAACCTCTGTATGTGGCAGTATTGGTACAAAAAGTTTCAGTCGGCTGGGCTTGGCTGAACTTCTTATGCTTTGTTACAATTTTAATGGGTGTTTTGTAACTCTTAATTGGGAAAACATGAGGCGCAAATGAAAACCACCCTGCTCAAACTGAGCACAGGAGGCAAAACTTAAAAAGTAAAATGTCAGCCAGGGTGTCGGATGCCCACAGTGCAGGTTCCCACCGTCCTATCTGCTGTGCCGAACGCGAATCCAAGATGTTCTGTGTGCTAACCTAAAGGGGAGCTCCTCGTCTGGCAAGCTCCATCTTACCGACATTCCTGTCTCTGGCTTCGACCCGTGTTGGAAACGAAATGAAAATCCTGTCTGGTCAACTTTCCCATTGGGCCTAGAGAGCTTTCAAGAACAGCAACCTCGTGCATTTAATTACACAAAGTTTACCGTGACGACCTTCACTGCGTTATTGGAAAAATCTTTTGTGATATCCCCTGTGCTGGGTTCTGTAGAGCTAGGTGCTACGTGAGTGTTTGTCTGCTGGCGTAAATGAGCCGTGTGTGTTGCACAGTTATAAAACACACTAACTCTGTGGCATTCGTTTTCCTGAAACGACTGAGAGCAGATCCTGCCGCTTCTCAGTTCCAGTTATGTTTCCGATACCCAGCTGAAAAGCCTTAAATCCTTCTTGCCTGCAGTTCAGAGTAAAGCTATTTCTCATTTTAGCTCAGCAACTGGGAGGCGAATTTGAGGACCAAAGGGGCGCACGCTAGTGCATTGCTTCTCTTTGCTTGCTTTAGTCTGGAAATGGGGTCTCTGTGAAACACTGTCTTGCTCCCGAGGCAACGAAAAGGTTGTGTTTTAACCTCTTATCTCTATTCAGGATAAAGTTCCCATTGCACCACCGCTGTTTTTTATTTCCCCATGACCTGTAGTCCTGAAAACGTACCTCTCTCTACTTGTGGCCTTGGAGTTTGTTCCCATTTTTGTTGTTGTAAGACTTGGTGCGTTTTTTGGAACGTTGGTGTTGTGCAAATACACAAGCTTTAACTCCACCCGGTGTGTGTGTACGTACAGTACCTACAGCCTGCGCTTGTACCACGTTGAAGGCCGTTATCCTTGGAGCGGTAGCGTCCGTGGGGACTTGGAGGCCACGGCATTGCCCGAGGACGTGGCACAAGCTCCGTCTCCTTGGGTGGGGATACCTGTATGAAATCGGACTCTATCCCAGCCCAAAGCAGCACAGCTTCTCTAATCTCTTACCTACTCCTCCGCGCTGAAGCACAAGAAACCAGGCAGCTGGGGGAGTTCTGGGGCTGCAGGCAGGGACGAGGACTCTGCTGGTGCAGCGTGGTTTTGTGGGCGAGCGCTGTGGCTGTCAGAAACGGAGAAGGAATCATGAACGAAAGCCCCTTCCAGCCCTTCGTGGGTTGGTTGGGTGTTTTTTTTTTTTTTCCAAATGGTCTGTCCTGTTTGGAAATCGCCCTCCTGCGAAGCCCCAGGAGCGATGTCGAGAATTGGCTTTGTCACGAAGCTGAGTTACTTCTGTGTTTCCCACGGTTGTGTATTAAAGCTGGTGCTTGTGGTGGGAAATGGCCTGTTTGTCGCAACAGGCACTGCTGGAAGAGATTTTCTAGTCCCTGCCGCTTCATTTAGTTTTTTTGTTTAGGTGTGGGGTTGGGAAGGAGCCTCCATGGTTTTGTGATCCTGGGAAAGTCTGTTTTCATTAGGGCAAAAAAAATACTCAGCTTGAAAGTGTTTGCAGCTGGTCAGAACAGAAGGGAGTGAGAAGAATCAAATCTGGGACAGAACCAGCAGCTGTTGTTACGGTGACTTCCCCCGTCCCTGACCTACCACATCTCACCAGATCCCACCTGCTTTGTCACGTGTGGTCTTTGTTTCCTGATGCCCTCCAGTAGCCTGTGTTACTTCACAGCTATTTTTCTTGAAAGCCCCCCATCCAACACCTCCATCATGCTTTTTTTCTCACCGTGGTTTTCTTTTGGGTGTCTCCCGTCAGGTCCTGCACACGTGCTGTGGAATGGCCAGTCCTTGGCAGAGGCTCTTTGGTCCTCTCCCCTTGCGTTCCACCTCTAGGTGCAGGTTTATGTTTCATTTCAGGCAAAGTTAGGAGTTCCGGGAGGTGATGAGCCCTGCTTATCTCATGGTCTAAAGAAGTGACCTTGGTTCCTTTGTGCTTTGGTGTGAGGGTCCTGCAGAGACTGGGCTGGTGGCCAGTTGCTCTGCCAGCATGTCTCGGCTGTCCCTAGTGCGGGAGCTTGTTGGGGATGGGGATGCCACTCCTGGAAACCCTGGGCAGATGTCTCCTGCCCAGGTGCGCTGCCTGTGAATGGACCTCAAGTGCTCCTAAAGCCACTGTGGATTTTCATGTTCTCTGCTGCAAAGCACAAGTCCTAAAACTTCTTCCTCAAAGCACCCTCTTGTGTGCAAGATCCTGCCCCTGGTCATCAAGATTAGCCAGGTAGGTGGTGAATGACGAATGCTGCTGCCTAAAGACGTGAGCGCTGCCAGCCCAACCCAACCTGTACTCCTGGGAGCTCACAGAAACATGGCCAGCCTCACTGTTAGGGCTTTGAGAGGAGGTGTGAGGAACCTGGGCCGTCCCAGCTAGCTGGGAAACCCCTGAGAGATGGCGAGCCTCCAGCTCTGGGTGTGTAGCGGAGGAGAGCACCAGTGCAGGCTTGGAGCGGACCTGCTGGAGAGCAGCTCTGTGGAGAGGGACCTGGGTGTGCTGGGGGACGACAGGTTAACCATGAGCCAGCAGTGTGCCCTGGCTGCCAAGAAGGCCAATGGGATCCTGGGG